TGAATGTTACCTTGTAGGAATTCCAGCACCTGAAGTTTCTCTCATGATGAAACAGTTCTAGACCCTTTGTGTCTTCATGTGGGAGCTGGAGTGTTGGACCTGGGGTTAGGGAGACCTGGGTTCATATTCGGTCAGAGAACCATAAGGTTTCATGCTTTATAAATTTTTTGTTAAATCCCAACTTGGACATTCACTCTTTCCTGAGACAAGGAATCTGAGAAGCCTCATTTTCCTCATCTTTAAAATGAGGATGATAATGGGCAGCTAGGTGACACAGTAGGTAGAGCCCTGGGCCTGGAGTCAAGAAAACCTGAGTTCACACCCAGCCTCAGACACTTAACTAGCCATGTGACCCTGGGCAAGTCACTTAACCCTGTTTGCCTCAGTTTCCTCATCTGTAAAATGAGCTAGAGAAGGAAATGGGAAATCACTCCAGTATCTTTGCCAAAAAAACTCAAAAATGGGATCACAGAGAGTCAGACATGATTGAAAAGTCTAAACATCAGCAATAGCATCCTTCATATCTACCTTGTTGTGAGGATCAGACGAGAATATCAAAGCATCAGGCCTTGTGAGGATGATATTTCCCCTCCCTCCCCCATGTTGTTTGGAGCAACTCAGAAAGCATTTATGAAGCACCTACTGTATGTGTAGCACCACCGTCATGGGTTCCTGCCTTGCCTGACAGGATCCTTGGGCTGCTAGCAACCTTCGAATAGGCCATCTGGCCTTCCCTCTCCTGAGCAAGAATCCCCTTTCCAGTCTCCCTCCCTGGTGCTCTCCTAGCTACTGCTGGAAGGGGCCATCGGCTGACTCCCAAGGCCGCCCCTTTCTCTCTACTGCTCATGTTTCTTTTTCCTTTTTTCCTGACCTAGAGGTTAATGAATCTTTTCTGTGTTCTCCCCTTTGCTGCTGAGCACAGCAGGGCACCTCCCTTTCCTGGGGGGCTGCTGGTGGAGGCTAGGCTGAAGCCTCGGGACCTTATTTCCCCTGGGGACTTTTCCTCCTCCCCAGTTAAGCACCTCTGCCTCAGCCTACAGGCAAGCCTTTGTTAACCAGAATGCTGGGGGCAGGGCTCTGGCAGCCTGGGCTTCCTGGTTAACTGAGGCCTGTTGGTTGGGCTGACGGGGAGTGGTGTTGGCGTTTGTTTTCTGTTGAATCCATTCTTGGTGTTGAAAGTCTTGGCTCTTACCGAATCTCTTGTCCTGTGGCAGTGGGTGGAATCAGTCTGATGAGGAGGGGCCTCAAGGGTTCCAGCACAAGAATTATGATGTGTTGATACTGCTGTTAAAAGACTGTAATACAGCTTTCTCTAGCATTTTACCACCCACTGTGGGCTTTCCTCAAAGCTACCTGGGAAGGCAGGTCATTATCCCCATTTGATAGGTGAGAATGTACAGTCAGGGAGTCCTGATTCCAAGTCCAGGGCTCTTTGGACGGGTGGTAGAAAGAGCCTAGGTTGAAGAGTAAGGCAAGCCAGGTTTAAGGTAGGCCAATTGATTTGTGTGACTCTAGACAAGTCACCTAACCTCTCCATGCCTCAGTTTCCTCAGCAGTCCCTTCTCAGCCAAAATCTATGATCCTCACATCCTTTTGACACTAATCAGGTGACCCTGGGGATCCGCTTCCTTTGTTCATCTTTTAAATGAGCACAGCGATGTTTCTTCTCCAGCCATCTTCTCTAGGCCACTGTGACTCCTTCCTCAGGGAACCTCCTAACAAGGTCTTCAAAGAATATTCATTTATTAAATGCCTACTGTGTGCCAGGCACTGGATGCTGGGGATACAAGAAGAGGCAAAAGACAGTCCCTGCCCAGCCTCTAGGATCTTATAGTCTAATGAGTGTGCAGGTGGGGAGGCCCCAGGCCCCACAGCCTTGTACCCCTCTCTCTTGTCTGTGGTGCAGAATGTGCTTCCCAGACCAAGCAAAGAGGTTCCCTGAGCCTGGGGGAGATGAGTAGCCTATAGATAGAGACACTGTGAGCTCCTCGACAGGAGAGGTCAGAAATAATGACCCCAGTGAAGGCACTGGAAACAAGAGAGGCTGAGCAGGGCTCCCTGCAGCAGGGGAGGTTTTAGTATTCAAAAGGTGATGTATTGTTTGTGATTCTCCCTCCTAAATGTGGGCTTCCAGGTCAATATGACATCGATCGAGAGCAGGAAGGGCCTTCCGAGGGCTATTGCTCCGGCTGCTTCACTTTGCAGGTGAGGAATAACGCCCAGGGAGCTGCGAGAACTTCCACGACCTCTATCAACTTCGCTAAGCACTTAGTATGTGCCGGGAACTGTGCTAAGCGCAGTAGTGAGGCAGGATTCAAACCCAGGCTCCTCCAGCTCCAAACCCGGGGCTCCACAACACCCCAGGTTAGCCGGGGCCCACAGCTCCTTGGCTTTGGTAAAGGTTGGTTCAGAGGCTTTCTCCTGGCCCCATCACAGAGCCTGTGTCTCACTCCCTTTGAATGAGCCCACATGTGGCTGTGCTTTCCTGGGGGTAGGAAGAATGAATCAGTATTTGGTGGTCCTGAGGCCTGGCTTTGGACAAGCCCCCTCAGGCAGCTGTCTCACTGGCTTTTCACTGATGGTTGGGGCCCAACAGCCACACTAACTGATTCCTGTGTCTGGGAGCCCCTAGAGGAAAGCAGCCGGAAACCTGCCGGGCCCCATGTCGCCTTTGGCATTTAGCTTGGGAAAAAATGAAGCCCCAGTTCCCTGAGTCTCCTTGCAGACTTCCCAGCGTCCTTGGCCAATAAACTGGGCACTGCTGTTAACCCATCCTGCCTGGGCCATGTGCACCCTGGGTCCCATGGCCCAGTGCCCTGCTCTGGCCAGATGTTTCCAAGGATGGGCTGTGTTGTTCACATAAACCGAGGATCCAGAAACAAACAGCAGGTCGGGGGCCACCGTCAGGAGCGGTCTCCATGGATTTCAAGGCACATAATTGGAGTCTCTTGTGTGGCAGTGTACGGTGCGTGGAAAGAAACCTCTTGGGATGATAATGATTCCTCCCCCTCCCCATCTCCGCCCCCATGAGGTTTGGAGCATCTCAGAAGTCATTTGCTGAGTGTAACTGGGATGGACCCTGGCTCCCTGCAAGGGCGGGTCCCCACTGTGCCCAAGCAGTGAGTTTGTGAGTGTGCAGGACCAGGGAGCTGTAGTTAGTAGGGAGCTTGGCAGGGTCTCTGTGTCTTGTGTGCCTTCCTTGAGACACGGGCAGGGGTGGGGGGGGTTGTAGTCAGATGACCGCAGTTGGATCACAGCTGTGTGACCTTGGGTAAGTCACTTGGACTCTGTGGGCTTCAATATCCTCATCTTTAAAATGAGGGTATTGTACTAGAGGGCCTCTGAGGCCCCTCCCGGCTCTAGCTCTAGGACCCTGTGATTTCCCTGGGCCTCAGTTTCCCATCTGTAAAATGATACTGTCAAATTCAGTGGCCTCTAAGATTTGTTCTACCTTTGCCTGCTAGACACCCCCAAAGCCCTGTTTGCATGCCCCCTTCTCCAGGAAGCCTTCCTGGAGCATCTGGTGGTCCCATCTTTCCCCCTGAAACCTCAGGTGGTCCTTGCTTTGCCCTCCCCCCAGCCTTTTTTTTTTTGGTGAATCAATCAGAGTTAAGTGACTTGCCCAGGGTCATACAACTAGTAAGTGTCAAGTGTCTGAGGCCAGATTTGAACTCAGGTCCTCCTGACTCCAAGGCCAGAGCTCTATCCACTTCACCACCTAGCTTCCCCATTTTGCCGCGTTCTAGTAGCTTCATGTGATTGCTGTGGTGACACATTTCCCTTTGAGGCTTCTCCCTCAGAACCCAGCCCAATAGCTGGCATTCAGTAGGCACTCAATCGATGTTGAATTAGTTCATTCACCATCCATGTCCATAAAGACTAAGCTTCTTAGATGAATGAGTAACTAACGCAGTCTACGCAGGTATGCGGGAGTCCTTTAACAAGCATTGGTTGAGGGCCTACTGTGTGCTGGGTCATTGCTAGATGTGAGGAATAGAAAAAACAAAATGTAACTCAAGGGCCCATGGTTGCTAGTGTCCCTCATGCTCCAAAATTAACTTGGGTTTGCTCTCTACATTTAAAAATAATTTGTCTTTGTTCTTACTCTTTTCATCCAATGGAACACATGCTCCCTGAGGACAATGATTGTTTCATTTTTTTCATCTGTGTCCCCAGAACCTAGCTCAGTGCATGGCACATAGTAGGTACTTAATGGATATTGGTGGAATAAATGAAATAGCCTCTGCCCTCAATGAGCTTATACTCTATTGGGAAAGAATGTATGGGGACATATACAGAGCTCTACAGCTAGGGACAGAAGACCTGGACGCCACTTTCTGCTCTCCGTATGAGGCCAGGCGCATCATCTGCAAAATGAGAATTTGGACCTCATGCCTTCTAAGGCCCTTAAGGGTCATCATTTTACAGATAAGGAAACTGAAGGTAAAAGAGGTGAAGGGACTGGCCTGGGTCATGCTGCTAACAGGCCACATCAATTTGACACAAAGTCTAATATGCTCTCCCCTGGGTCACCGGACTGCCGATAGCCATGAACTTGGGATCTCCCTCTTTTCCCAGCTGAAGCTCTATCCATGAGACGGACTTGCTCAGGGTCACACACCTAGTATCTATAGCTGGTTTGGAACTCAGGTCATCCTGATTCTGCCACACAGCTGAGGTGCCCCAGAATATTGGTACTAGAAGGATGTGCTTTTGCGGACCAGATCCTAGGATAATTTTACTTCCTGGTATTCTTTCACCTAAAGCTGTCCTTGAGTCAAAGACTCTGATAAGCATGTTAAACAGCACCAAACACAGACCCCTGTGGCACTCCCCTAGAGACCTCAATCCAATTGATGAATGCCCACCGACTTCACAGGGTGCCCTTTGAGAGGCCAGAGTTTACTTGGATGCTTTTCTGTTGCTTAAAATTGAGCTGGGGTGCCAGTCCCAAGGAGCTCTCTAACTGCCCCAATTGAAACTCTTTTCTTTCCTTCCAGACTAAAATACATGGAATTGGGTTTGTGAAAATCCATGCACCCTGGAACGTTCTGTGCCGAGAGGCTGAATTTTTGAAACTCAAAATGCCCACCAAGAAGGTCAGTGGTTCTCTGTCTATCCATAGCTTCAGGAAAGCTCAGGAGCGCAGGCTGTTGATGTGGGGCTGGGCCGCTTGACAAGATGGCTTGCTGGTCAGTTGCAAGGCCCTCCATGACAGTGGTGACTGGTCTTTTTTCCTTCACCAAAGTATTTTCAGTAACAATGAGAAGATGCCTGGCCTCCCATTGCATCTACTCTTGGAGGGAACAGTTGCAGAGATTTTAAAACTTCCTCCTTGCCTCCCTCTGTCCATTTTGCAGAAAAGAAGCGCAGATCTGAGTCTGGGTCTGGTATTTTGTGGCACACAAAACACCAGCCCAAACTGGGGGAAAAAAAGGCTCAGACACTAAAAGAGATGGCTTTAAAACCCCCTGAAATTGATGGCCAATGAAAATTTGATAAAACTTTGGGCTCCAGGCCTCTGCTGGGGCATCTTTGCCCAATTTATCCTTTTCCTTTTACTCTCATTTCCTACTCGCTGCGCTCCTGAAAGTGGACAGTTATGAAGGGATTTTACAGCCTGTTCCTTACAGTTTGTTTAGCTTGGTTTATTTCTCTGTAGAGACAAGAACCGGAGGTATGAGGGGCCGTTTACATAGCGCTGTCAATCAGGCTGTGCCTTCTTGCATCATCTAACAATCTCGCAGAGAACAGGCATCTCCTTGAATGTGTGAGGAAAGTGCTGGATTTGACGAGCTTGCTGCTTTCTCTCCATCTTCCTCACAGGCCCTTTGGGAAGGTCTGTCTGTCTTAATGTGCACAGCAGGGTCCTGTGGGGCCTGCACTGGACCAGATCAGAAAGGTCAACTCCCATGCAGCCAAATGATACCGGTTCTCTTTCTCCCCCAATCTGCAGATGTACCAGATTCACCAGAGCCGGGGCCTCCTCAAAAAAATTAACTCCGTCCTCCAGAAAATGACAGAACCTATCCAACCCCGGGTGGCTGGCAATAGATCCCAGAGCACAAAGAGACTTTCTTTCACCTTCTCCAGGGAAAAGCAGCACCTGTGAGTACGAACTGAGCCTGCCCAGGCTTCCAGCTTCGGCTTCGCGCTGATCAGACTGCCCGGGGCACCTGGGTATCTCGTCTTTAGAAACTGAAAGGTTCCATGGCTGTTCTGCTGGCCCCACTTATGTCTGGCATGGCTTTTCCGCCAGGAGAGTTTGTAGAGATGTTCAGTGTGGACGTCAGTTAATAAATCACTGTAATTCCAGAAAGGTGGTTTGGTCATCGACGAGTGCCAGGCCCTGCCCTCTGACATCAGAGGTTCAGGGGTTGTGGGGATACAGAGATTGGCTGGCTTGTTGTCCTGGACATGTCCAGCCCATCCTTCGTGCTTGCAATGTTCTCCCTTCTCACCTGCCTCTTGCAATGCCAAGGTTGACTAAAGTGGGGCCTCCTATTCAAAGCTTTTATCAAACCGCCAGCCCTTAGTGCTCCCCTCCCCAGAATATATTACTTGGTATTCTATCCATATAGCTTTTCTATTCACTTTTCCATGTAGACACATAGATGCATGTGTTCTATGTAGACATGTAGATGCATGTGTGTGTATTGATATATGTGTCCTGTTCCTCCCTTTGGCAGACTGTAGGCTCATCAAGGTGCCAGGATAATTCTTACTTTGTATCCCCTAGTACAGAGTAGGCCTGGCACATCATGGGTACTTTATAAGTGTGGAGTCGGATTGAATGAAAAACCATCTGGTCTCTGTCCTCAAGGAACCTAGTGTGCAGGAGGGTGGGGAGCAGGCAGTCCAGGGTGAGAGAGTGTGGGAGTATGCCCACCAGGGAGGGTGCTCCAAGAAGCTGGGGTCCAGGCCAAAGGTGAGCAAATAAAGGAGTCCTGGGAGAACCTGAGAAGGGAGAGCTCCTTCCCTCTAGAGCAGGTGAGAAGAAAGACAAGCTGCCTTCCAGTCTGAGAGCAGACGGCCAGCTCCAGAGGAAAAGGGGTCCCCAGACTGCCATTCAGAGCCTCATGGCTGGCTGAGGAAGCCAGGAGGAGCGGAGAAGGCAGCCCCTTGGGGAGAGGAGCCTTAGGAAGCCAGGCTCGAAGCGGCCATCTCCTCCTTGCCAGCCCAGGGAGGCAGTCTGGTCTGGGCAGAGGGCAGTTGGCCTAGCTCCTAATAAGGGAATACTGTTTTCTTTGGTTTGGAACCAGAGGCCCCTAAATCAATAAGGCTGCCCCTCCTTCTTTGCACCGGTGTCATCTCACAAGTACATACTGTTTGCAGCAACACCCCTGGTTGTACTGCGCAAGCCAGTGAGATTGTTAACAGGTCCCACCACAGCCTCAGTCCTCCATCCTCCTCAGGGGGTCCCTGTAAATAGCAACATGTGTCAAGAGCCAGGTATCCAGTGTTGTGGATCTCAGCCCACCAATAATGCAGAGATTCAGCAGAGGGGAAGGAACTGGCCCAAGGTCTCATGGCCCAGCAATATGGTAGGAAACTGTGCCCTGCCCCAGCTGTCTCAGTGGTGGAGTCCCAGGCTTGATGTCACCATGGACAAGGCCCAGTCTGTTTCACTCTGTTATCTGGGGTGGCAAGAGGCACAACTTACCTTGGGGTCTCTGCTGGCTTGGGACGGTACTGACCTCTGACCTCCTGCAGAAAGCCCTTGCCGTCTTCATTCTGCCACGTCATTGGTATCCACCCGGGTGCCTTATCCCCTGTTGAGACCATAAGCTCCCCAAGGGAGTCGAAGTCTACAGAGCCCTGGAGCCTCATAGTATTCCGGGGGGGAAGGCTGCTTCCTCCGTCCCTTTAACAATGACTAGCGTTTGTAGGGCTCCAGGGCTGGCAAAGTTCTCATGTTACAATCTTTCCTGATGCTCGCAACAGCTCTGGGAGGCAGGTGCTACCTCCTCTATTTCACCCATAAGAAAACTACAGCCCAGAGAGGTTAAGGCACTTAGTAACGTCACATAGCTAGGATTTGAACCCAGGTCTCCCTGACTCCCCAGTCCAATGTTCTCTCCAGTGCCTTTCCCTGACAAAGCTGTGGCAAGGATGATTGAGGATGAAGCCTGTTAGTGAATGAGTAGCCATTCATCTTCTGTATTTAATTCCCAGTAGCCTAAGCAAGTTCTCAGGGTGCCTTGTAGGAAATAGCAGTGGACTGCTCTGTGTCATCTCCTGCTCACGGTTTTCTCCCCTGAAGCAGGCTTGGACAAAAGTGGTCAGTCTTCGTTCTAGTTGCCAACAGTGGTCCTGTTTCTGCGATCATTTGTGACATCGTTGCTTCCCAATTCCCAAGAGATAGAACATGGGACCTGGCTCTCTCCAGTAACCGATGCCCTGTTCTCCTTAATATCCCCACAGGTTTGACCTGAGCGATAAGGATTCCTTTTTTGACAGCAAAACTCGGAGCACCATAGTGAGTATGGCTAGCCTTCTTGTGTCCTCTACAGCTGAGGGGTTGCCCTTGGGAAGCCAATGTGAGTTTCCCTTCCAAGATCCTTGTCCAATGGGAGAATAGTATTCATGCCATCATCGTGAAGTGACAGATTCCAGAAGTTAGAACGTTGTGCTGGCCAAAAGTGGGGAAGAAGCCTTCCTTGTACGTGGTGGGAGAGAGGCAGGAAGTAGAATAATGTCTCTGGCCCTGAATTATCATAAATCAGAGAGAGAAAAGGGATAACTCTCTTGAAGCCCCCTGGGAATTCAGTCTGGGTTGCATTTTGTAAGCTCCAACCCATGTGTACCCCCTCAGCTTTGGAGTTAGATGGCCCCTGGACCTACCTATCATGGAATGTGGGTCTCAGAGAAGCCAGGGACCAGGCTTGGTGTGGACATTGTGCCCATCGGTCAAAACGAATGAATGCCTACGATCGGCCGGGGCCATCCTGCCCTGGTGGAGGGGCTTCTTCATGTTTATCTAGCAGCTGCCAGCTGGGAAGGCAGCCAGTCCTCATGCTGTGTGTGCCTCAGCTCAGGGCAAGCCTTTTATCTAAACAAGAAATTAAGGTTTCAGCCAAGTTGTTGTTCTCAGGCCTTCCCTGCAGAGCAAGTAAACAAGTCTGGAGTTTGAGTCTAGCTGGGGAAAAGGAGGAGGGGATCAGGTGGCCAGGAGTCCTGCTGTGGGTCTGCCCAACACTTCTGCAGTAGGTCCACTATACTTGGGGGGCAAGGGGCTTTTGCTAGCCTGGCTGCATTGTAGCTGAAGAATATGCAAGATTTTCTTAAGAGGGAGTTAAGAAGAGTCTCTCTTCTCTCAGTAAAGTGCTTTTCAAGACCTAAACTGCTGGTGGGCACAGTCCCATAGCCTGAGGACCTAGCCAGATTGGGAGCTAGCTCACAGAGGCAGAGATTCAGAGCTAGAAGGCACTTTCATATTTTCTAGCCCACCCACCTCATTTGACACACGAAAGTCCAGAGCACTTAAGGAGCTAGACCCCTTAAGGAAGAAGGGAGCAGAGGTTGGATTTGAACCCAGGTCTCCTAAAACCAATTTCAGGCCCCCTTCCAAGACACTATGTGCTGCTTCTGCCCCCATTGCTGCCTGGTCTGCTCCACCCTGGACCTAAACAAGAATCCTTAGAGCGTTCCCAACCAGTAACCAGCCTTTCTGTGCTGGTCTCAGAGTACTGGAATCCACTCCCACTTCCAGAGAGAGGATCTTCCCCTTGGGGCCAGCTCTCTTGGTGGGGGTGGGGGGTCCTTATTTAATCTAGCTGAACTTGTCTTTTCTGCCATCCACTGTTCTAGGTTCTGCTCTCTGGGACCAAACAGAACGAGGTCAATCCCATTGCTAGGTCCTAACCCTTCAAATGCTTCAGACACAGCTCTTTTCTGCCTGTATCTTTACAGCCTGCTCCGAGAGGGAGCTGTTGTTTTTAGTGGGAAAGTTTAAAATGCCCATCAGCAGGCTCCTAAAGACTCCTTCCTTCTTGTTTCTCTTGTTCAAAAAGTATTCCCTACCTGCCAATAATGAGTTGGGCCAGACCTGTGGTTTCCCCTGGGGAAGGACCTCCTGGTGGAGCAGATTGGCCCCTTCTCACCAACGTAGTCTTAGACAGGAGCCTGGGGCAGGGAGAGGTTAGGCTCCTTAGCCACTGGACCTTGGAGGCAGGACCTGAACCTAGCTCTTCTGACTCGGAGGCCAGCCCTGCAACCAGTACAGCACATTCACTGCCTCTGTCCCTATTGCTTTGAACTTGAAGAAAGCATCCCCATCACACTTCTGTTGAAGTTTAATCTAGTCTCCCTTTCCCCACAACCTCCCTCTGATGGTGGAAGCTCCTAGAGGGAAGGGGCTGTCCTTTTATTTGTATTCCTTCCCAACCTGCAAATGCCTTTGCACACAGTAAGTAGTTAATAAATGCTTGCTTCCTTTCTTCTTCTCTGTGCTAAGCTTTCTTATCTGTAACAGATAAGAATAGCACAAACAAACCTGGGTGGGGGGGTTGGGGATCTAATGAATTAATGTATGTAAAGTGCTTTGCAAACATAAGCTTTATTGGCTGTGAGGGAAGTGGATTGTAAGTCAGTCTAGGGTGAGTCCAAGTGAAAAGCTGAGAGTAAAACTGAGGTCATAAGCCTAGGGGGAATGAGGGAAAGATGGTGGGGCCCTTGGCCAGAACAAGGGAGTTTGGAATTGGGTCAGGGGAAGGGAGAAGGAAGGAAGAGTTCTGGTTTTGGCATACACTGCAGTTAAGATGCCCAATAGATGTCCAGTTTGCCATATCCAAAGGGCAACTGGCAGGGTCTAACTGTGCCTTAGCAGAGACTAGGGCTGGAAATAGAGATTTGGAAATTGCCTGCATAGAGATGGGCATTGAATCCATGGGACTTCTGAGATCACCCAGGGAAACGGGACAGAGGGAGAAGTAAAGGGGGCCCAGGAAAAAGTAGAGGGGGAAGCCCAAGTTTAGTGGTCATGACAGATGAAGATCTAGCAAAGGAGTGTAATTAACAAGCCAATGGTAAATAAAAGGTCTTGCTGCATGTAAGTTACCACAGATGTCTGAGGTTTTATGTATGCCCTGGATCAAGGGATGTCCTGATAAGTTTACAAGGGGGGCAGGGAGAGTGATGACCAGGCTTTGGGGGGGGGTCGGGGATTTGAGCCTTCACTTGACACTGTGTCCATTGATTCCTTCTTGGGAGGACTAAAGACACCCTGATGAAGTCTTTATGACTGGGATTCCTCCAAGATGAGCAAGATGATGTGGAGATTATGAGAGGATAAAGGTGGAAGGGGGAGGTCTTCATCTCAGCCCTTGCTTTCTGCCTCTTTCCTTCTGGTTTTGAGATCCTGAGAGTGAAGCAGAGATAGCAGTCCACACAGGTGTCACCATGAGCCATCCTCCTAATCTAAGGGGTTACCCCACTCCCAAAGACTCAATCAGGGCTCATCCTTGGTCCTCTCAAGGAGATGCCAATGAACATATCCATTGTGTAAGCACATACTCTTAGGACTTGCAAACGGAGCCTCACCTCCCAGGGAGCTCACCAACTTGATCAGGAGCCCTGTTAATTATACCCCCAACATTAGGAGTATAATGGCAAAATTAAGCAGGACATTTAAGGCTCTTTAGACATCCTGCACTAAGATCTCAAGATTCCTTACCTTCAAGGGATTTGTAAAATATTATCTAACTGCGTCACCCTGGGCATATGGCTTAATCCCATTGCCTAGCCAAAAAAAAAAAGTAGTGTTGCCTTCTTTATAAGAAGTTAAGACTTTATTTTATAAACGAGTTGGTTTGAAATAAGGAGAAAATAATTAGAGAGGGTAGAGATTAGACACCCTCCCCCCTCAACCCCCACAGTTCAACATAGCTCTGAAAAGACAGCAAGGTGTCTAACATCCCACAGGAAGTTTAACAGCACCCCTCCCCCAGATTCTGCCCCCTGCCACTTAGCTGGGCGCCACCAGACCAAGCATTCACTCTTGGTTCCCAGAGGAAAAACCTTGAAGAGTAACACAAGGCCGTGATTGATCCCCTACTTGATGGGAATAAAGGACAGAATCAGCTGTAGCCCCATCCCCTGCCCTGCAGGGTCTGTTTCTTTTTGTGACGTCTCCTACGACTCTGGGCATACACAAGCAGGCTTCCTGAGATTTCTCAGGAAAGCGGGTCTTCCCTGGGAAAGGGTTTCACCTCCATTGCTGGCATCATTTCAGAGTCAAGTGCAAAGCTTACCTCTAGGGTCATGGGATATGTGTCTGCTTGTACCCTGGAGTTGGTGGAAATTGGCATGTGGGGTCTTAGGGAAGTATTCTATTGATGTCGTACATTTTCTAAAAATGAACCACCACACCTCCCCTCCCCCCATCTGTCTCTCTTCACCACTCCCCCCTCCCCATCTTTGTCTCTGATGTAGGTCTATGAGATTTTGAAGAGGACGACATGCTCGAAGGCCAGCATGGGTAAGGAGGCGTGTGGAAGGGATGGAAATCCATTCAGCTCCGTTCCTTTTCCATCACATATATGTTTTCATGTTGGTCAGTCTGGGTCAGCTGGCCCAGGGCTTCCTTGGTACTGAGGATTTGTACTGATTTACAGAGGGAACCTTTAAGCTCTGTGGCAGGAGATCTCAATAACACTGACTATCACTGGAGGGGGCCAAGAGATCATTACTTTCTCAGGTGGAGTTAATAGCCATTGAGAGAAGGTAATAACAACATTATTAGTTGGTATCAGAGAACTCGTCATCAAGCATCTGCTTTGGGATAGGCACTGTGCTTGGTGTGGGGATTTCAAAGACAGAGAGGAAACCAAGGCCTGCCCTCCAGGAGCTTACACTCTACCTGGGCTCCCCAGGGGAGCCTTCTGACATGCTGAATTGGTCCAGAGTCAGGGCTCACCTTAGCCCCTCTAGTCTTAGTGGGGTTAGGACGTGGGCCCAGCGTGGCCACCCCCCTGGCTGCATGGGCAGGGATGGCTGGTGACCTGTTATGCCACAGAGAGCCAAAACGAACGGCTTGTGGCTCAGAGTGGAGTCTGGTGATAAGTGAAGTCAGTCTGTTCTCAGGGATGCTGATTCTAAACACAGCTGACTTCCCGTGGGGGTAGAAATTCCTCCCTAGGGAACCCAAGTTGGGTGGGAAGCAAGCTTAAGCCATCAGGGTTTCCCTCCTCCTTCCCTGGCAGCTGAAAACATACCCTGACAGGCCCGAGCTCCAGCCCCCTGTGAGACAGAGGGCATTGATGAGCAGGCTGCTGGGGCCACCTGAGCAGCAGAGATTCTTGGAGGGCCCACCCGGGAGGCTGATGAAGGCTTTAAGTCCAAGGACCGGGCAGAAAGGGAGGGGACACTAGAAGCCATTTGCTACATTTATTAAACACCTGCTGTGTGCCCACAATTCAAAACTGGTTCCTGCCCCCAGGAGCTTCCATTCTAACGGAGAGACAACACGCAAACAACCGCTGCAGACAGAATGAGGGGGAGTGGGGGAGGATCTGAGCTGAGCTGTGAAGGCAGCCAGGGAAGCTGGGGAGAGAACATGCCAGGACAAAGGCAGGGAGATCGGAGGTGGGGGTGCACTCCATACGGAGCAATCACACACTGCTAGGGAACTCAGGCCACCTCATCCTGCCCCCTCTTTTTCCAGGTGAGGAAACTGAGGCCCAGATTAGTGAAGTGACTTGCCCCATCCTGCTCCCCATCCCGCTCCCCAACTCTTGTGCTTCCTGGCCCCCACCAAGTACAGGGAATCTTCCCATAGCCCATATCCCTTCTCAGCCAAGGCACTGAATGGTGGGTACTGTGGTCCTCTGGCCCCTTCTTGGCCCAGAGGACCCTTCCTCAGTCTTTGTCCCACCCCTGGCCAGGGCAGGCATGCTCACACTGGTCAGGCCTCCTTCAGGTTTGGCTCTTGTAGACAACCAGGGAGCACAGTGGAAAGGCAGATGTGGAAAACTGGATGCCTCAGTTTCCTCATCTTTAAAATGGGAGCATTAATAGTGGCAACCTCTTAGGGTTGCTATAAGATGGTATCTGTAAAGTGCTTTGTAAACCTTAATGACAACTATTATTATTTTCCATCAGTCTCTGCTTCCATCTGGCCTGAATTCCATTTTATTGCAACAAGTATCTCCATGTGCAAGGCCCTGAAGATTCCACAATAGGAGTAGGACCCAGTGCCTGCCCTCTGCAGGCTTCAGGTCCAGGAGTGGCAGACAGTGGTTGAGGAAGGCTGACTGGACTAGGGGCCAAGGAGAGAGCCGTGGAGGAGGCAAAAAGGCAGAAGTGAATTCTTTCTGATGATTTACAGTGAATCCCTTCCTCTTCAGAGACAGAACACAGGATGACAGGGTTATTAGCGGGAGGGACCTTAGAGGTCCTCGTTTTACAGAGAGCAAGTGACTTACACAAGGTCACTCAGTTGGAAAAACAGTCTTGGAACATAGGTCCTAATTTTCTACTCCACCAGGGACTCTTTTTTTAGTTCTGGTCCAATCACTGAGATAACTTAGCCACCCCCCCAGAAAAGAGCCCCCTTCCATTTAGAAGAGGCCTCTACAAACTCCCTGGGACAAGGCCCTCGGGCAGGTTAACGACCTCGGCTCAAGGATTTTGGTCCAAGATCTTAGGATCAGAAGATCTTAGGTGTCTTCAAGGCCAAAAGTCCAGCCCTCTCCTTTTATAGATGAGGAAAAAAAATAGTCCTGGAGGTTGTCAGCTTCTGAGGTGGGCCAGTGTCCTCTCCACTTATAAGAAGCCAGTCCCTACAGGCCTGCCTGCCCATCCCTGGCTCCCAGGGCTAGCTGAGATGGCTTTGAGGAATAAGTCTGACCTTTGAAACATCCCCCTACCAGAAAGGCCCAGAAGTTTGGTGACCCCGGCATGGGTCCAAGCCCAGTCCCAAGGGGGATTGTTTTTCTTTTTAGACAATTGGGGTTAAGTGACTTTCCCAGGGTTCACACAGTGTGAAGTGTTTGGTCTGAGGCCAGATTTGAACTCAGGTCCTCCTGACTTCAGGGCCAGTGCTCTATCCACTGCACCACCTAGCTGCCCTTTAAGGGGGATTTTCCCTGAGCCTTCCTGAGTCCCCCACCCCCTACTCCCTGTCAGTCCCCTTCTTTTATTTCCAAATGCAACAGTGACTTGCCGGAGGCCCATTCACGTAACTAATAGACTGATGTGTAAACAGGGCAAGGAGAGGGAAGAAAGAAGGATACTGCCCTTTTAAATAAAAGGAGAAAATGTGGTCAATATGGTAAGTCCCATCTTCCCACTCCTGCCCAAGGCTGTGGGAAAACTCTCCCTCCTGCTTCTCAAATCAGTCTCCAACCTCATTTTAAATTGTATGTGTGTTTCTTCACACCATCAATTTCCCCTTCCATGTTTTCCTTGTGATTTGACCTTTTCTAACCCCTCCAATACATACTTTCAAATCTTCAGGCTTTCCCTCCCAAGCAGGTGGGGTAATAGGAGTAACTCGTTCTCAGTCCCTCCCAGACATAATGCTATCTATTTTTCCTCTGTAACTTTCTAATCCTGAAAATTGAGCATGTTTTAATCTTCTGCTTAGTAACAGCCGTGAGGGAGGCAGCCTCTCCGGGAAGATCAATACAGAGGAGTTTTCTGATTTCTGGGGAGCCAGACTTACTGATTTCTCTTGGTGGAAACTCTTTTGGTGGCTGAGATATTTCTGCTGATTTCAGGAGAACGTGGGATATGGGACTGGTCACTAATCCCTCACATGCCTCTCTTTTTAAGGAATCACCAGCCTCCTAGCCAATGGAGTATATACCGCAGCCTACCCCCTGCACGATGTAAGTGACCTGGCAACACACTTCATCCCTGTTTGAAGGGAAAAGGGAAATGCCTCATATCATGATTGCAGTTCTTTTTGTCAGTTTACAAGCATTGATCAAGTGCTGCTGTGTTCCGGGACCCATGATAGGTGCTGGGGATACAGAGACAAAACCCAAAAAGGGTCTCTGCCCTTACAAGCTCGTGCTTTATTCTGAACAGCAAATCCATTTACACTGATGAGTAAATCCGTGACAGTTTGAGGCAGGAGATACCCACCAGACCAAAGACGCTTCCCTGGGGAGAGGGAACCTGGGGTGGGGAACCTTGAAGGAAACTGAGGATTCTTGGGAGACGGCAGTGAAGAGTAAGGGTGCATCTGGCATGCTGAACAGCCTGAGCAAAGGCAGGGGAGATGGACTGCTGAGCTTATGGAGCAGGAAGGAGCCTATTTGACTGGGACATTAAGTAGAAGCGGAATGATGGGTAAATAAGTGCAGAAAGGTGGCCTTAGAGCCTAGTGATAAGAAGTTTTAGCTTCCAAGAAGGCAGGTCATATTTGATACCAGATGCAGCAGGGAGCTGTAAGGTTATTGAACAGAGGTGTGACATGTATTTTAGGGAGACGGTTTTGGCTACCACGGGGCAGGTGCTCATTGTCAGTCGACAGAAAAGAGCCCCGGCTTTGGACTCAGTTTTCAGGTTTGGGTTCTGGATCTACTACTTGCTCCCTGGGTCACCATGAAGGGCCCAGGGCCTCAGTTTCCCCAACTGTAAAAAGAAAGGGACTGGAAGCTAGGAGTCACCTAGCTGTCTCAGTGGTTCAGGTGAGATTTCCACTCTGATCACGGGGGGGGGGGGGGAGCATTACATGCATCGTGAAGACTGGCTCTGGCCTTTTGTGCCAGGTGACACTGGCTGACCAGAGCTGCTCTTGCTTCCCTGGCGAGGCCCTTGGCCTTCGGAGGGTCACGAGAGCAGTTCTCCAGCCCCACCTCACAGAAGCAGCTGAGGACCAGGCTGAGGGATGACATCTTTTCTCTGGGGCTGACCAATCGCCCAGCCTGGCTTCTCCAGAGCAAGAAGCTGGCTTCCTGGCCTCATGCCACGGATCTCTGTCGCCTGGGCAGATGGGAACCTGTCTGTATCTGGCTGCCCTCAGGCTAAAGAGAAGAACCACGCTGTTCTTACTGTCTCTAGAGAGACAGGGCTAAAGTTGAGGGATGTTAGACCAGACAGGGTATCAGGTCGGTCTGAGCAGTGTGGGAACCTGGTAATTTTCCAAGTGTGTTTATGGCAGAGTTTATGGCTTAAGACTGGCTAGTAACAGGGTAGTAGAAAGCAGGACACTGGGATTGTAGGCTGCAATTAATCACTGAAGCACTTCAGTGTGGCCTTAGGCAAGCCTTGATCTCCATTTGCTCATCTGTAAAATGGGAATTCTTAGATCCTAAATCATAGACTGTGGAGCTGGGAAGGGCTGTAAGGGTCATCCCGTTGAAACTTTTTATAGTTGGGGAAACTGAGGCCCTGGATCCCTCACAGTGACCCAGGAAGCATATAGCAGATCCAGAATCCAAAGCCAAGACCTAAGTCTGGAGCCAGGGCTCTTTCCAGTCAGTCAGTAAGCACTTATTAAGCCCCTACTGGGTGCCAGGAATACAAGGAGGAATGGAACAATCCACCTTTCTCTGAGCTCACATTCTCACCTACTCTGCTGCCTCAAGGATCTGTCTCTGCCTTTCTGTTTTAGGAAATTGGGGTTAGGTGACTTGCCCAGGGTCACACAGCTAGTAAGTGTCAAGTGTTTGGTCTGAGGCCGGATTTGAACTCAGGTCTTCCTGACTTCAGGGCCGGTGCTCTATCCACTGCACCACCTAGCTGCCACATGTCTCTGCCTTTTGAGACCAGCTGGGTAGAGTCCCTAAGCCGAGGGTGGGGGAACTATATGAGCATGTCCTTGAGGGCGTGAGAGAAAGTGCCTCTCCTGGCCAACCACAGGGTCATGTGACTTTTCTATGCCCTTTTCTTTTTTAAACAGGGTGACTTTGAAGGAGAAGATGTTGAGATGAATGACAGAAAAGTAAGTTAAGGCAGAGTATTTGCCTGGTTCATCCCGGCCAGCTGCCAGCATCAATTAAGCACCTATTCTCGTTCAGGACTTGGGGCTCAGCTTTGGGGCAACAAAGACAAAAATAGGCATGGTTCCTGCCCTCAAGGAGCTTCCGTTCTACGGGGGGTTGTGGGATACAACAAAGAAACAGCTGAGTATACACGTGAATGTTTAGAGACAGAGGAAGTACCAACAGCCTAGAGAATGGCGGCCTCCCGGGGGGGGGGGTTGGCTCTCGAGCTGAGACTGGAATGAAGCCGGGGGTTCTACGTCCTTCACTCGGTATGATGGCAAGAGCCCTGGACTTAGGTCAGAGGACCGGGGTTCAAATCCTGCCTCTGACCCTTCATAGCTTGGTGACCCTAGGTAAGTCACTCGATGTGTCTGGGTCCGTTTTCTCATAAATTAAGCTCGTAAATTAGGTGATACTTGCTGGCCCCAAAGGGCCCTTCCCCCCTAAATGAGTGACCTGAAAATCCGCCGAATCCCCGGTGGACTCCTTCACTGAATTGGCCCAGAGTCCAGGGTGTCTCTGCTCTGATCTAGTTGGCCTCCCACTACTCCTTCGGAGCCATCTTACTAGCCAATAAGTCAGTCGGCAACCATTTATTGAACACCCACTATGTTCTGGATGCGGGAGTCACAAAGATAAAAGCCAAATCAGGCCCAAGCTCAAGGAGCTGTCCATCAGTTGGGGTTGACAGTACGTGTTAGTGTATTCAGATGAAAACCCATACACAACCCATATGTGGGAAATAGTGAGGGAAGGTGGAGGCTTCAGGAAAGGCTTCCTATAGAAGGGGAGAATCTTGAAGGAAACAGGATTGTTAGAGGCAGAGGGGAGAAACGTGGTGCATTCCAGGGATGGAGGGGCAGCCAGGACAAAGGCACAGAGGTGGGAAAATCAAAGTGGTATGTGTGAGGAACAAAGAGAGACAGTCGTTAGACTAAGCTGGAGAATAAGTGAAGCAGAATAACAAATAATGAAACTGGCAGGGGCCAACCTGGGAAGGGCTTTCCACAAGCCAAGCAGGGCCTTTATGCTTGATTCTGGAGGGGTCCAGGAGCCACTGGAGGGTATTAAGGGGAGGGTGGAGGGGATAACATGGTCACAGCCACTTTAGGAAAAGTCACCTTGGTTGAGTGGAATGTCCGTTGGACAGGAGAGATGCTGAAGGCAGGGAGGCCAACCCAGAGCCAGCTCTGTGGTGATTTCCAGGGTCACCTTCCATTACCATGCCTCCCGGCCCCTCCCAGCAGATGGCCTTGCTTCCTCCCAGCGTGCCATCACAGAATTGTAGAGATCATCAGGGGCCAGCCCATCCATTTGAAGGGAAGACAGGGTCCCTCACATCCCCACAGCCCAGCATTGCCAGGCCGCCATCCCACACACCAGACTCTGGGAGTGGCTTCTGAGTGATCTTCTCCATCAGATCCATCTTTGTTAAGTAAGCCAAGGCTTAGTCTTGCACACTTTCCTCTGTAAGAAATGTGAATCTCCCGTTCAGTGACACAGTGCACAGCATTCAGTGTCAGGGATCAGTGGCCTTCCAAGTGCCCAGCCAAGAATGGGCTCTTGGCCTGAGCAGGGAATCAGCTGAGGGTCCAACACTACCCTTGATATGGCTCAGGAGACTTGTAGAAACTGACATTTGGAAGCAGGGGACGGGGACTTGGCAAACACTGAGGCCCCTTCAGTTCCATCCACCCAACTCATGATTGAATTGCAAAAGCCCATCTACACCCATGTGCCAATCTCTCCTCTTTTTGAAATTTCTTGTAATGAATCCATTCACCTGGTGGAGAATGAAGCTCTTGTTTCCTCCAGGGCCAGCTCTGGGCAGTACTTAGGCATCACAAAAAGTGTTTTGTGGCCACTTGTGAGGAGGTTCCTTCTCTTAGGACTGCAACCAGCGATAGCCCTGCTGGAAAGAAAGTGGAGCCCAAACAGCCCTGGTCTCTCATGAATTCAGTGCATCTTTACTGGATGGCCCAGTGGCTAAGCATTTGGGAACGTTGAATGGAGGGCAGACAGAACGACCATCATGGGTCGTACTGAAATGTGTGAGGTTGAAATCCCTTGAATACATTTCAGTTTGTCCTTGGTTCATCCAGACTGAGGCCCTTGTCCCAGCACACACCTGAATCCTGGTAGGTTTCTGTAGCCTGCAACATCCCTCATCTGGTGGCCAGCCTTCTAAGGATGAAGAGAATAGTACAAAAGCTTGGAAAGCCTTTCTCCCCCCCCTCCCCCGCCCCCACCCCACCCAGGCCAGAGTCTTCTCCTTCCTACAGAGCCCTTCCCTGAAAGGCGAGTGTCCCATTCCACAGGGTCAGAGGGGTGACAGTAGTTAGCCTCGCTTGTGTGTGTGTGTGTGTGTGTGTGTGTGTGCGCGTGGACGTTTTTCCTAAGGGCTATAAATAATCCTGCCAGCTCTCCCAAGAGAAATGTAGCCATGTTCTTTTTGCCCTGAAGGATGTACCAATGTGGCTGTCCCCCTACCAACAAGCTTTTTCTGCTGTTTCTCATGGAGAGCGTGGGTGCACTCAAGGGACTGAAGTATAGGAAAACCACAATTTCCAATGAAAAGCCCATTTTTTTTCCACCCAGGGCTGGTGGGTGCAGTCCTGAGCTGCAGTTTCATGGGTAGGAGAAGTCCCAGTGCATAAGTTCATCCACTGATGCCCACTGGCCACTTGTCTGTGCTCAGACAAGTTAAAATACAGCTGTTCTGGGTCAGGAGCAGCACAAGAACCTGGGTCTTCCTGAGGCCATAGCCAGCCTCGAGAAACTGCACCCGCCGACTTTGCACTGTCCCATAGCCACCTAGAAATGATCCAAGATGCTAACTCTAGCCCTCCAGGTACGCCTCCTACCGTTGGTGCCTTCCGTGCCTGGCTGCCTTGTCTTTCCAAGTACACAAGAAAAGCTGGTAATGTGATTTCCTCTCCTTCCTAACCCCTTTTGTTTTCCAGATTCTGTGTGAGGAGTGGGCCACCTATGGGGCCTTCTACAAGTACCAGCCAATCCACCTGATCAGGTGAGGTCGACTTGGCCTTGAGTGGGCCCTGCCTCTCCAGCCAGAGGTCATGGGAAAATGGGCTAGGGTCACTGGTAGTCATCAGATCCACCTCCCAGTGAGAGACATGTATTTCAGATCTGCCTTGTACCTAGAGCTACATTCCACCTTGGAATCTGTTGGAACTTGAAAGAGATTGTGGCTTATAGCAACCAACCCATCTTCTTCTCAGAATTTGGTGGTTTTTCTTAGGCTGTGCAATCTAGCCTGAGGTGACTTAAGACTGACCTAGAGACTGTTAAGTCTTTATTCAAGATAGACAATGGACTTCAAAGGAAAACCTCACTTACTGTAAAGAATTCCTCCCCTTCCTGTTTCTTGATGCCCTTCTTCTTTTCCAGGCCTGCCAGCTCTTAGCATCTCACCTAGCTCTCTATGAGGGAGGTGACACATGCATGGAGGACAGCAGGACAGAGTCACCTCTTACACAGCAGAGAAGGAGGGCTGGGGAACTCTCTTATCTTGTTCTTCTAAACAAGATTCTTCTCAGGAGAATGAAAAAGGGAGGATTGGGACAGCCAGCTCAGGAAGCCAGAAGCCTGTTTGTGTATCAGCAAGACTCAAGAAAATGGGAGAGGAGAGGGAGAGGAGAAGGGATAGGGAGGAAAAGGAGAGAGGGAGGAAAAGGAAGGGAGAAGGAGAGAGGGAGGAAACATTTCCAAGAAAGACTCATGCCATGCTCTGCACCCCATTCTCCACCATTGAAACGGCAGCCCAGCATTAGAAGATGAATGGGGCATGGGGGCACTTCTCACAACCGACTTGGGGCATTAGCTCTTTCTCTGAGCCCTTTTCCCCCTCGTTGGTTCCAGGAAGTATTTTGGAGAGAAGGTCGGCCTGTACTTCGCCTGGCTGGGCGTGTACACTCAAATGCTCATCCCCGCCTCCATGGTTGGTGTCGTTGTGTTCCTCTATGGGTGTCTCACCGTTGATGGAAACATACCCAGGTAGGCCAAAGACAATAATCACCTTGAAAGTGTGTAATTCAATCACAGGTCCTGAGACGATCCCTAGAACTCAATCTTAGAGTCTGAGCACCCAGCTTCAACCCCTGGGCTGTACCACTTATGACCTCTGTCCTGGGGGCAAGTCCTCTCCCTAGACCAGAATTTCCTCACCTCTGAATGAGATTGGACTCAGCCACCTCCTAAGACCTCATGATCCTATGGTTCCAGGGGTCAGTGCTTCATCCCCAAATTCCCAAGTGTCATTCCATCCCTCATGAGGAAAAAAAAAGAGACTGGTCCAAGGAAGCATACCAAGCAGCTCAATATCTGCATTGAGAGGATGAAAGTTATTCCTGGGCACGAGGCCTTCATGATAAATTTTACCGTCAATCGGGAGACAGATCAAAGATGTGACCTATTTTCATCTTTGTATAGTTCTTTTTAAAAGAATTTAGGCACCAGGTGCTCTGAGAGTGACTGCCTCCCTGTGAAGTTTGGGGGCAGGCCAGGGAGAATCCCAAAGTCTTCATTCCTCCCTGCATCCAGCACACCTCTGCTTCCCTCCCCTACCCCCTGGCCTATCAGCCCAGTCATTGGGGGAACTTTACAGAAACCATGTGTCTGAGCACAGGTTAGGTGTCAAGGTCAGGGTTAGTGTTGGGTATCTCCTTTCAAAGGCAAAGCTCTCACGTGTCCTGGGAGGTGCACCAAGACCTATGAGGCTGCTCAAGGCACCGGGGAAGGTGATTTGGCCAGGTCTGAAGTTATCCAAGTGCAAGTATTTAGTTTGAGACCATGGAATCCAAGCCCTTTGTTTTACACACAGGGAAACCAAAGCAGGAAGGGGGAGGGCGTTGGGATGTGAGGGGCAGAGCTAGGAGTTCAGGCTCCCAAGCCAGGGGTCTGCACCCTACTGTGTGCTTCCTGCTTCAGGAGTCTCTGACCTACTGTATGCTGCCTGCTTCCATGCAAGGTTGGCAAGGCTTGAGCATCTTCCTTCTAGCAGCCACCTCAGTAGTGGTGTTGTTCTTGGAAATCAGTATCCCCTTGCTCCCCTATGGCTCCCATCACCATTCAAACCTGGCCACCACTGCCCGATAGGTGCATTGTGCTTCATGCTAATGGAAGCTCCCTAGAGATCAGGGACTGCCCTTCATACTGAGCACGTTGCTTGGCATGTAGTAAGTGGCTTAGCATTCCCCTTTCTGACCTCCTGGCATCATTTTCATCCTTTTGAAATTATTTTCTACATTTGCAAAAACTAGATTAAATTAAATTTTAAAATGTCCTTTTAGTGATAGCTAGCTTCTACTTGGCCCCAGAGGGCATAGCCAGGGGCCAAGGGATGGATGTTATAAAAATCAGCCTGATATTAGTGAAGAACCTCCTACAAATGAAAGAGAGCCATCCCAGTGTGGGCCAGGCTGCCTCAGGAGGTGATGAGCTCCCTGTCACTGAAGGGCTGCAAGCTGAGGCAGGGGGCCCCCTCAATAGCTGTGTTGTTGGGGAATTCTGGATCAGCTACAGTTTGGACAAGGCTGTCTGGTGTCCCCAACTCAGCCGCTCTTTGGTTCTATGGAGCAGTTTTGTGGCCATTTAGAGACCCTGACTTAACAAGCGTGACCTTGGTCTACTCCCTCGGCCTCAGTTTGTTCACCTACCGAATGGGTCAGCTGGGCCAGGTGAGCCCATAAGGAGGGAGAGGAGCAAGCCTCATTGAGCACCTGCTGTTCACCAGGCACCGCACTGTGACAAGCACTTAACAAGCGGTCCCTCGTGTGCGCCTCAGCCTGGGAGCAGTGGGGGGAGGGACTGAGTGCTGAGCCCTGTGGCCTCACTGGTGGGGGAGCCCAGACACCACTGCCCTTTCTTTGGGAGGTGCCAGGCCACTGAAGAGGTGTCCCTTCCTTCGGATCACGCAGCTGCTCTATGTTAGAAGTCGGACCTGAGCCCCGGGCCGTGGTGCCTCCCTGAGTCCAATCAGAGTCACTTGTGGCTGGCACTGGGGTGATCAGAAAGGGCTTCCTGGGGGAGGGCTCCCAGGAGCTGAGCCTTCAGAGAAGCAGAGGATTCCCAGAGGCAGAGCTGAGGAGCCATGGGCACAGCAAGCCAGCCCATTGGGCTGGAACCTGAAAACGCCCCAATGGGTGTAAAGGCCATGCACTAAACTGGGGCAGGTCTGCAGAGCCAGTATGGGAAAGGCTTTCAGTGTCAAACCCAGGAGGCTGGAGGTAGAGCTGCCCTTTGATGAGCGGTCCGGCTCTCACCCGGTAGCCTAGGAATTCCGTGGTTTCTCTTCTCCAGTGGAGGTTGGCAAAAGTCAGCTTGGCTCGGGCTCGTTTTCTGAATAATGTGTGAAGTTCCTGACATCTGCCAACTCTACCTGCCCCCCCCCTCCCTTGTCCTGGGCCAGGAGTGACTCTGGGATGGGGAGAAGGGTGAGGGCACAAGGGAGGGGGCCCCAGGGTTTAAGGGGGGGGCAGTTCATCCCTGTCCAAGAAGCTGAGTTTTTCTGCCTGTGGTCTGTTTGGCCAAGAAACTAAAGCAAAGTCTCTTGGAGTTAAAGAAAGCTGAGCATGGATGGCGAGATGGGCCTGGCCACCGGAGATGCTAGGCCAGTGTTTTCTTTCTACATCACCTCAGTTGTAGAATAAAAGAGATCCTTTCTGCAGAGCTCATTAAAGCTGAAACTCAGAACAAAACCTCGTGGAGGAAAAGAAACAAGGAAGGAAAAGGAGAAGCCAAGATACACAGAGTCTAGGGGCAGGTGGGGCGACCTCATGAGGCCGTGGGCTTCAGCCACCAGGCACTCTCCAGGCAGCGGCTGCTTCTGCTCATGCGTTTAGGTGATCAGAAGCACAGCTGACTATTATGCTGCACTCATAAGTTGTGCAGAGTATTTTGTGCGCGCTAGCTCATGTGAGCCACATAATAAACAACCCTGTGAGGGTTGACAGCTGAGGACACTGAGGCTCAGAGGTTAAGTGACTTTCCCAGGGTCACCTAGCTCCTAAGGGTCTGAGGCAGGACTACAGTGCAGGCCTTTACTCCAAGTGTGGTGGGTAATCCAGCTGAGACTTTCAAGTACCTTGGAGAGAAGAAAACAGGCCAATATGCCCATCCCCCAGGACCCCCTTCCCCAGTGCTTTATGGCAAAGATGACAGGAATGATGTCAGACACGAAGGCCAGAGATGCGCTCTACCCCCACCCCTCCCCAAATGACCAGTGGAAAGAGGGAGGAAGTTCAAGATTGCTCTGAGGGCTGGAGCAGTCATCGGGTATTTCATGATGGGCAGACCGCCCGTTCCAGAGGGAGCTGGCTAACATGTGACCTTGGGCACAGCCTCAGTTTCCTCACCTGTAAAATGGAAAAGAGAATACCACCTGCCTCACAAAGTTGTTATGAGAACCAAACGAGAGTCTGTTAAGTGTCTCACCAACCTTGGAGCTCCACAGAAATGTCACCAATTGATAATAATGACAATTAACAGTAAAGGCAGATAGCTATTAGCTGTGGTGGGGCAGAGGTCCAGCCAGAGTCAGGAAGCCCTGATGCCCATTGGTGGGCGATTCTTCACGTGCCAGTCCTTAGTAAATCCTCGGCCTCTTGTGGCCCCTCCTAACCATCTGCACCGACAGGGAGATGTTCCCTAAAGGGATGACATGCAGGTTTGCCCCACCCCCACTGAAGCTAGTGCATGGTCCATGGATTGTCCTCCGTGGTTTCCTGGAGTTTCCTTGCACTCGTCCTTACCTGTCCTCAGCATCACAGGCGACAAGTGGAGTGTTTGCAGCCAGACCATTTTGTTGGGAGGGGTTCAGAAGAGGGCCAAGGTGAGAGTAAAGGGGGGAGGGGGCCATGTCTGGTGAGGCTAGCTCTTGGCTAGCAGTGTGAAGGGTAGGCTTCCTTCTGGTCCTGCTCCCCATCCTCCCCTCCCATCTCCAGCTGATACTGATTCTGGTGCCTCGCCCCATCATGGAAGGGGAGGGTAGAGAAAGAAGGCTCTGAGAGCTAGAGAGTCCCCCACCCAGACACCCAGGCAAGAAGCCCTGCCCTGTTCCACTGTGCTGGATGATACTCCTCATGTCTCCTTCCCATCTTTCTCCAGCATGGAGATGTGTGACCAGCGTAACAACATCACCATGTGCCCCCTGTGTGACCAGACATGCAGCTACTGGAAACTGAGTTCAGCCTGTGCCACTGCACGAGCTAGCCACTTCTTTGACAACCCGGCCACAGTCTTCTTCTCTGTCTTCATGGCTCTGTGGGGTAAGTAGGTCCTGGGCCCAGCCTTGATTTGGGTCCTTGGAGGAGCCCCAGGGTAAGCATCCTACGTTGGTTTGCCTTGGCCCCTTCAGAGGGGGCCACAGTATTTCATCTTGTTTCTCTCCTCCTGAAATGGCCCACATGAGGCCTTTGCCTCTGATGACAATGAAGGAGACCAGCAGGGGCTTACTGACATGCCTAGGAGGGGCTTACATATGGTTCAGAGGGAAATTGCTAGGTTTGTAGTCAAAAGACCTAGGTTCTAATCCCAGCTCAGTCCCACACTATCTGTGTGACCTTGGGTGAATCCCTTTAGTGTCTTCCTGGGCCTCAGTTTCCTCATCTGTCAAATGAGAGGTTGGGCCAAATGACCTGGGTAGTCCCTCTGTTCTAAGTCTATGGTCCTGTGAACTACACTGAAAGCACAGCCTGCTTGGAAACTCTAGGGCTGGGGAGTGAGTCACATCCCCCACTTAAGGGTCCCTGGGCCCCTGATCAATGCCCCCTCCCCAGCCTCTGTTCTGCACAGAGGGGACCATGGTGCCACCTCTCATCTTCAGCACCTTGGGCACAGGGGAGGGGAGGGAGCCCCCAAGGCCTGATCTCTGTGGCCCCACAGCAGCAGTCACTGTCTTCAGGTGGACAGGAGGACTGCTGCTACAGTGCTCAGGAGCTACTAAAGCAAGCTCTCAGGGCTGGCCTGGTCCTGGGAAATCTCCTGGCTGTTTGTGTAGCTAAGGCCGCTGAGGCCCAGAGATGGGAAGGTATGGTGGCACTTCCACGTCATCCTATGGAATGCCCTCACTCCGGGACAGTGAATCGTGCCTGCTTGTGCCAGAAATCCCACACAGCTCAAGTCTCCACTTATTCAGAGTGTTGAATGATATTAAAATACGTGCACTTGCTATGTGCTGGGGATGCTAAGCTTTGGGGATATACAGAAAAGCTAAAAGGTTCCCTCAGGGAGTTCACAGTCTAAAGGGGGAGACTGCATATAAATAATGGTGTGCATACAAAACACACACAGTGTAAAGTGAGGCGATCTCATGGGGGGGGCTGGGAAAGGCTTCCTGGAATAGGCAGCGGCAGTGAAGTTGAGTCTTGAAGGAGACCAGAAGGTTTTGAAAAGTCATAAAAGCGAAATAGGACTTTATATCTGATTCTAGAGATAATAGGAACCCACTGAAGGTCACTGAGGTGATTGTGTGTGTGTGTGTGTGTGTGTGTGTGTGTGTGTGTGTGTGTGAGACATGGTTAGACCTGTGATTTGTGAAGATCACTGGGAACTGCATGGACTGGAGCAGAGAGAGATGGGCAGACCCACCCGGCCACTATCGTACTGGCCGCCATTGTGATAATCCAGGCATGAGGTGATGAGGGCCTGTGTGAATGGAGAGAAGGGCTATCTGTGAAAGATGTTGCAAAGGTAGAAACCATAGGATCTAGCACCAGACTGGACATGTAAAACCAGTGTGAGAGAGAAGTTGGAGGTGAGCCAGCCTGGTGACTTAGGAAGATGATGGGGCCCTCCACAAGAATACACAGCTTTGGAAGAGAGAAGGGCTGGCTGCAGCAGGGAGGGAGGGGCCGGCTGGGAAGAGCTAAGGAGTTCCGTTTTAGACTTGTTGAGTTCAAGGTGCATCCGATTTCCCATATCCAAGAAGTAGTCAGTGATGTGTGACTCCAGGTCAGATGGGTCAAGGCTAGACATGGATATTGACATCATAGAGACTGACATCCTTGGGGCTGATGAGATCACCAAGTGTAATAATATGGAGGGAAAAGAGACATGGGCCTTGATAGAAACTTGGGGGCCATCCACGGTTAATAAGCATCACCTAGATGAAGAAGCAGCAGAGGAGGCTGAGGGGGGTCACACAGGGAAGAGGAAAACCAGGAGACAACCTCATGACCCAAATCAGAAGAGGGTCAAGCATGTTGGGAACAGAAGGTGATCTCCAGTGTGGAAGGCTGCAGAGAGGAGGCTTGAGAAAGGGGCACGGAGAGATCATGGGAACTTTGGAGACGGCAATGTTGGTTAGTGATTGCAGAGGTCAGGGGGCTATTTGATCATAGAAGTAATAGAGAGGAGTGAGAAAAGAGGAGGATGTGCACTGGCTTTCTCACAGAGTTTAGGAGGGCAATGAGCCCCACAGGATGCTAGTCGGTGGGCTTGCTTGGACCAAATGAGGGTTTTGTAAGAACAGAGGAAATGAAGGCAGCAGAGAAGGAGATAGTTGGCTGGGAAATTGAAGATTTGTTGGAGAATAGAGTTGATAGAGGAAGCAATCTACCAGAGAAGATGGAAAGGGATGAGAGCCCTTGTGCGTGTCGAGGAGTTTGCCTTGGGAAGGAGAAGAGCTACATCCTCCTGTGAGACAGAGGTGAAGGAAGGGATAGTGAAGGGAGATGTCTGAGTGATGTGAGAAGAGGAGAAAGGAAGACGAGTGTCCTTGCATTCATTCCTTCACCAAACCCCTCCACTTTGTAGAGTAACAGAGCCGAAGACCAGCTGAGAATACAGCTCAGCTCCTTCCAAAGCCCAAAGGTTCATTGTCACCCTAGAGCTGATGTCCAAGAACAACATAAACAGCAACCAATGGGAAACTCTTGGGCTTTCCTGGAGGTGCTCTTCCGAGGAGCCAGCTGGCTAGGAGGAGAAAGGCCCAAATGCAGAGGTGCTCCCCTAGACCACTCCCAGCCATGCACCTAGGCCCCTGTTTCCCTTTCCTATCACCCCTTGTATGAGTTATAGGCCTCCTAGTCCTTGTCTGGCCTCTGCCCCTACTAAGCTCTAATCTTCAGCCCTCATCTGCATGAGGGGAGCCTCCACAAATGCCTGTTGAGTGAGTGAGGGAGTGAGTGAATAAACAAAGGAATGGATGGGAATTATCCCTCAGAGCTCTCTCTACCCAGATGTGCTGGAGCCTCAGGCCTTTGCCCTTTGTGAATTTGAAAGGAATAGCTGACTGTGTGTGGGGGTTGGTGGAAGGCTGGCATCACCTTCCTTTGATAGATCAGAGCGATGGGGGCAGCCCGGATGGTGAACTTCCTGGAGACAATGGCACATGAGGACCAGTTGAAGGAACTGGGAGCGTTTAGGCCAGGAAAGGGGCTGGGGAGACAGGAGAGCTATCTTTAGATCTTTGAAGGACATCCTGTGGGTAGGGTCTAGGGTTCTTCTGTTTAGCCCCAGAGGGTAGAACTAGGAACCCTGGGGCAGACTGCAGAGGCAGATTGAGGCTTGGGATGGGCAGGCCTTCTCTAACAATGAGGGCTCTCCCAAAGTGGAAGAGGCTGCCTTGGGACGGGGGTCTGCTCCCCATCGAGGCTTTGTGGGCTCACTCTTAAGGACAAATGGAATCGAGAATGTGCCCCTGTTTTCATTGTGCCCCTCCTCCTTGACTGATGGAATTGTCCTCTAAAGATGCAGCTGGCCACTCCACCAGGATAAAAATGGCACCACTTTTTATAAAATTCAAAATGATAGAAGTTTCTAGTCACAAAAAAGCCTCAGGGTTTTTGACTTTCCCTGTCTTCTCTAGCTCCTGGTACTACTTCATAAGTGACTGGTCCCCAGGGAGGAGAGGAAACAAACACCAAGCTCAGGCATGAAAGGCTTCATCCAGGCTCTGGAAACCTCAGGCTGAAGCCACCTGGCTACCCAAGGGCTGCAGACTTAAACACTGCAGAAAGGCCACCCCCAGGTGGAGAGCCCTTAGAAGCTAGGCTGCAGCCCAGTCACTGGTAGCTTTCTGAAAGTGTATTTGCACCTCCATGTTCCTGGGTCTGTGGCATGCCATCGAGAAGCCTGCTGAGCACATCTGTGAAGATTCAGGGTCGAATGAGGCCCTGGGGGCTTGGCTTTCTACAGGGACTGCTTCATTTTGAAGCAAGCTGTTCCTGGCCATCCTCTGAGAACAGCAGGATCTCTGAGGCAGGCAGATTAAAAACCTAGGGTTGTTTGTTGCAAAGTGAGCACACAAAGACACTCTCCCAGGGCCCCCCAGATTACCCACACATCAGCTCCTGCAGAGGTTCTCCTACCATAGACAAGCACAGACAGGCAGGGGTCAAGAGGTACCTAAGTACCTACTCTGTGCCAGGCTTTGTGCTAGCTTCTGCCATAGCCCTTGCCCTCAAGGAGTTCACATTCTATTGGGGAAAACAACATGTGCATATATGATGATATACAAAGTAGATACAGGCTGGTTTCATTTGACTACTTCATTTTTCACAGAAGGAGACTCAAGACTAGAAAGAATTTGTTTGAGCTCAGACAGTTAATGAGTGGCCCAGCCAGAGACAAGATCCTAAATTCCTTTCTCCCAGCTTGTCCCCTCCTTCTCTTTTGCCTCTTTTCCTTGGTGGCCACTTGCTGTAAGCTTGGAGTTAGGAGGCTTAAGGTGGCGTCTCAGCTCTTACATTTAGACCCTTAGACATATCACTTGATTTCTTGAAGTCTCGGTTCCTCTTTTGTAAAACAGAAGTGTTAATCCTTGAATGGCCTGCTTCAGAGTCTCTATGAGGGAATTGTTTGTGAATCAATTAATCAAATCTTCAAAATGCCATAGAAATTGGAGGCTTCATTATCGGCATTCTTCAGAAGCCTGCAGTGGGATTGTCAGCATAGACTTGCCTCAGGGATGATTTGGACAGAATTCACCAGATTTGTGTAATTAACTAGTCTTCATGGCATCCTCCTTGAGTACGTGTCCTTGAGGTCTCATTATGGTATAGGGGGCACAACCCCACATTGAGTACCACCTCTGGAAGGTGCAGCTGGAAAGTCTGCAGCTACTGTCCATGATAGACTGTGTCTGCCATCTAAAGGGCTCACCCAGCTAGAAACTGAAGGACTCATCTCCAGTCAAGTTAAGGAGTTGAATTTTTGCACCATATCGACTTTCAAAAAAATCTCCATTAAATGATACAAAGGGATATTAGTTAGTATGAGTGGAGAGACTGCCCATGTTGACCAAATCACAAGTGGCCTGTAGAAA